GAACTATCAAAGTTAGAGATGTATGCTGATGCTTGCGTAAAAAGTATTACCGATAATGAAAAAGAATAGTCGAGTTACGGTATGTTTCACCAATAAATTCTTGGTAAAGGTTAATAAAAATCAAATTTTTTTTTAAGGCAAAAAGATAATTTAAATATAGATGGTACCAGGCGTATGGGACAACTTCGAACACAAATTGATCATCTTACACGATTGAAACGTCAACCTTCTAAAATTGAAGAAGAGATTAAGATTTTGCAAGATAAGATTTTGTAAATTGGGGTGATAAACTTCGAGCTCAAAAGTCTAAAGTAGATTATGTTAAAGATCAAATAGTTTTAATAAATGACCGAATTACTAAGTCGCAAGTGGCCAAATCAAGGGTAGAAATGGAAATGAATAAATTCTAAAATTCTCTAGCAAATAGTGAAAGAGAATTAGAAGATTAAATAATGAGATAGAAAATATTACCAAAGAAATTCAACCATTCGTATTAAAGCCGATGAAGCCAAATCTGTATTATATCTTGGTTTTTTTAATAATAATTTATAAATACTTATTTACATGATTTCTAAATATTTAGATATTGGAAAGTAAAAAAGAAGAATTAGATGAGATCAAGGAAAAATTTGATGAAAAAACCGAAATTATTAATCAGATTAGAGCAATTGAGGTTTATATTTATATTTATCATTATTCTCTTAAAATTAAGTCAATCTTTTTTTAATGACTAAAAAACCATATAGAAGATAGTAAACGCAATTTGACAGAAAATAAACAAAAAGGAATTCATTGGCATTGGCGAAAATCTCTTAGCAACCTTACGCTAAATGAAATCGGGTAAGGCATGCTTATGATATTTTTAAAATATTCATTCTACAAATTTATCTCATTGACTTTTATAAATAGGGCAAGAATTTCAAATCTATACTGATGATGAGCTCGATGCAATGAACAAAGACACATTACAAGGATAGATTGATATTCTTTAAGCTTTCGAGATATTAAATTGAATCCATGCATGAATTCTTCAAATCGTTTTTCTTTAAACGATCGTATTCCTCTTTACATTCATAAAGCTTAACAGTAATCTCGTCTAGATCGTTTTTTACGCCATTTAAAGGTATTATAATTTATCTTTTTTTATATTCTATTTATTCTTTATATCTAATTATTTTTTTTTT